CTCTTCATAGTTCTTAACACCCTTGTTAATAAAAACCAATCTGAATTTGGTTGGCAGCAGTCTGTCCTATTGAGGGGAGGACAAGTCTGCCTTGTTGACTGTTTTATCTCTAGTGCCCGACACCTAATAGACCTTCAACAATAATGAATGAGAAAGGCAGCACAGCAATTTTCAAGGATAAACCTCCTAGAACATCATGCTAGAAACTATTAATGATGTGCTCCTGGCAGATTTTAACTTTTCTTAAGTTTTCCCAATTTCTCTCCTTGCCTCCAGCAATTATCTGATTCAGTAGGGATTTCAAGAGTGAGGTTCAATATCTTGAAATATACTGAAGGGCAATATAGATGATATGGATGATATGGATGAGGCAGTTAATGATGAAAGGCAAAGAGAAAATTTTAAGCTAGGAGCTTGTCTCAAACGAAAGTCTCAGGGTGCAATTAAGGAAAGCTAAATCAGGTTATAGCACATTGCTTTAATCTTATAGACTTTAAACAAAAGGCTAGGAAAATTGAATTAGCAAGGAGCAGGGGGAATTTTGTTAAGAAAAACTATTACAAGAACACATACTTCCTGTTCCTCAGATTTTCTGCAGCCTCGGGAAATGCTGAAAAATCGCTGGATGCCTTTGGCCAAAAAAAAGAAAACAGAAGCCCTAAACATGCCAAAAATTTGCATTTCTTTTCTCTTCTCTTTTCTTTTCTTTTCAAGTTTGCTATCTTTGAAGTAGAATATCATAGTATGATAGAGACTGCTAGTTTTCTAAACAATATCCATTCTGCTCTTCTTTTTTGATAACAGACTCCCTAACTTTAACTGATGCTATGATGTATGGAACTCAAAGACTGTATTTCCTAGGTTTCTTTGCAACTAGGTATTATTATGGGATTAAGTGCTGGCCAATAACATGTAAATACCAGTTGCTGGGTGAGATAATTTTGAAAGCATCCTTTAAAGGGGCCAACTTTTTTGTCCTTCTCCATTCTTCCTATTTCTTGCTGGAATAACTATACAACGGATGGAAGTCACGTGCTTAGGATAGTGGTAGAAAAATGTCACAACAGACCTAGGCTAACCACCTCTGGTTTTCCACATGAAAAAAGCAAGCAAGCAAGCAAGCAAGCAAGCAAGCCTCTAACTGGCACAGACACTTTTTTTGGAGTCTACATTGCCCCCTACCAAATGAAATGCTTAACTGACACATACGGGTGAGATGTTGCTACAAAAGGATTTATGAGAAATGAGTCCTGTCTCTTTTCCTACTTACGCGGCCTAAGAGACTTCCTAGTATGAGCTAGAACTTTAGGGTGACCCTAGTGAGGAGAAAGGGCATTAAAACATGTTAATAAAGAAATGATAAAAGCAGCAAAACTAACCACTTATAAATTTCCTTGCAAGGTAATTCAATTCCAAAAAATGAGTCTCCATTTGGAGACATGCCAGGTTTCTAGAGAAATGATCAGAATTTATATAGAATTAGTGCACAGTTACCCTGTGTTGGTCTCTGATACTTTCAGATTTATTTGGAAGTAGAAATTAATCCTTTGATATTGAGCAGCATTGCTAAAGAGGGGGCTACGGTTCTTTTGGGATTGATGGGTTTAAATTCAGAGTAAAAGGGCAGAGTCAATATGCATGTGCTTCGATGAGATCATCTGTCAAATCAGTACAATATATAGTATATATTAGCTGGGAAAATGGGAAACCAGACCCTCTGGGTCATATTGGCAGCAGGAGCAATTTCAATGAAAAGAAAATTGAGGGGGAATAACTGGGTAAGTTCAAATTCCAATTGGCAGCAGAAAAAGATTTTAGTATAAGGCATTAATTTTTAAAGTAGATCAGGAAAATACTTCATTTATTTCTGCTAATACTGATGGAACAGACTCCATACGCAGCCTATTCGTCAGGTTTCCATTTTTTAATAATTAACAAATTACCCTTAAGGATTCCAAGAAGATGACTAAGCTTGGAGAAGCTAGGGCCCATTGAATCATTTTTGTAAAAAAAAACAAAAACAAAAACAAAAAAAAACCTTTTCTAATAACAGCGACCCAGAATCTGAAAGATTATTAAACATGAGAACAGCAACCATCTCTTTTTCATCATTCCTGAGGGAGATGAAACAGGCTTGTATTAAAATATGACAAATTTAGATTTGACATTTAGAGGAATTTCCTGAGTGAGAATTTTTAAACAAAAGTATCTTCAAGTTTTCTGACAATAGATAATTCTGTGACCCGATTAATGGAGAGAATGATTCATATTCAAGATCAACTCAAGGTTGCTCATACAGTCCTTGCCTGAAATATGCCCATTCCACCACATTAATCAGCTGCCTTTCCTTTCCAGCTCTTAGAGAAGGGAGCTGTTCCAGCTAGCCTGGCTCGGGGGTGCACTTCCCACCATGCTGCGGATTTCTCCTCCTCCTGTGAGTGGACAGCTTCACTCTCAGCAGGCTGTTTTATTTTCACTAAAGCATTTTCTCATTTAGAAAAAAAAAATCATTACCAGATTCTCCTAACAACTGTGAAAGATAGCCAAGGATTCAAATAGATGAGGTATCTAAATCTAAGGGTGCACTAATAGCAGATTTGATTTTTGGTATCCAGTCCTATGTTTTCATTATTCAAGAGGAACAGCTACTCCCAATCCTCGAAAAAAGAGACACAACTCACAACCCACGTCTCTGTAGTTTGGGGTGGAGTGGTGGGGAAATCATTTGTTTGTGTTAAAACTCTGACTCTGTTATTTAATTAACTGTGAGAATCTGGGTACTTGACTTACCGTTTGAAATTTCGTTTGCCACATCTATAATATGGAGACATACTGTTCTGACAGAGTTGTATAAAATGAACCAACAAATGTAAAGTATCTAGCACGGTATCTAGCTAAATTATATTAAAACCCTGTCTATCTCACTCTCTTCAGTGTCTCGCCACCAATCTTTCTTGATCCCCAGAACCTCACTTCCACTCTAGGAAAAGCTACTAATGGTCCACATAAAACCCCTCTCACCACACTCTCCTATATTCCTTTCCTACGTGATGTCATAAATTGAAATCCTAGCAATTCGACTTCTGTCCAATCATGAAATGAGGGCATCTGCAGGCCACGCTCTCTCTCAGAAGCAGTTACAGACTTGGGATATCCAGAGCTGTCCATGTTCAGTAACAAGCAGAGAAGATAAAATATGTATGGCATCCGCTGGAAGACCAAGCTTCCTAGTCTGCTTGGCTTACTGGTATTGGCTCAGATGACTGGAACTTCTGGACTTGGGACCTTTGCCACCTTGGCCTCCCAGAACTGCCCGAGCCTGTGAACTTTTCAGGCTGACCTACCGGCTGTGACCTGTGGTTTCTACTTAGGCACCCAGTCCTGGGACAGGAAGGCATAGGTGACTCACTGCTCACTGGGGCTGATGAGTCATAGCAGGCTGACAGCATAAGAATGAAAATAGCTAACATTTATGAAATGCTTACCATGTCAGGCACTATTTTATGCATCATAGGTATATTTACTCTATAAGTTAGGTAGCATGGATAGGAAGCAATTAGCACACAGGTTCCTCTCAAGTCTTAGTAAAGAGACTGGAGAATCTATCTTCCTTCTCTCTACTTCTACAGCCTTCTGTAGCATTTGTTCTACAGCATTTAGTTATGTCTTATATCTGAGCATATTTACTTTTCCCACCTATTTACAAACTTCTGGAAAAACTGACCATGTTGACTCTTATCACGGGGCTATATTGTAACTTTCATACAGAGCTCAATAAATGAACTGAATTAAGCCTTTGGGAGATGAAAAGCCATTGTATACAAACAAAAACCTCTAGTCATCATTTTAGAACATTTCAAGCCTTACTTTAAACCTTAAAGAAGTCACTTACCTTTAAGTTAGTGCAGATTATGCTCTCTGGCTTCATGATTTGAGAAAAAATAGATATAGCTTTTTCCACCTGGTTCTAGAAGGAAGAAAAACAATCATACCCAAGTCGTGTGAATAATACTCTGCTATCATAAAGACTATTTACAGATATCAGGATATTCCTGTTCATGGTGCCCCAGGATTTCGAAGCCCACAAAGAAAACATGCTTTTTTGGTAATCAAGAATGAATATTCTACAAAATGAGTCCTATAGTCTCATGTTACTGAATGTTTTAACAACCTGCCTGGGTTCCAGTTTTTAAGACAGGGGCATAAAGTTGACATTTCTCCTTCTCCTACTGGAATGAGCATTTAAAAAACAAAACAAAACAAGACCGAGAGACAGAAATGCAAAACCCATCTTTGACATAACCAGAACATAGCAGAAACCTCAAGCCACAGAGCACTGCCAAAAACACTGGAGATGGAGCATAGGTAAGCTCCCAGAAGGTAGTGAAAGAACATCGCTGCATATCTCAGAAAAAGCTCACAAAATAGTTCTCAAAGGTGAGAGGCACAAGCTGGAGTACAAACCCTAAATTCCTGTTTACAACGATGGTTAGTAATAGTGTTTATGACTAGTAATAAGGAGTTCTCTGAATCCTTTTCGGTGACAGAGGTGAGGCTAATCAAGGATTTATGTAGAAAAGTCATATTTGCAGGAAGCAGTACAGTACTATTACAGCAGTAAAGAGACTTTTTTTTTACTGAAAACCAATTCCATGCCTATTCCTCTCTGCCAGAGAGAAATAAAGCGTATGCAAATTTGTAAACAAAACTCTGTATTACATAAAGAAAAATCCTGCTAGTCTCTCTCTGATATGAATCTTCTGCAAGTAGCTCTTCTAAGAGAAACTTATGTTTTTCAATGGTGAATAATAATAATAAAAATAACCAGCATGTGATCTATATAAAGACACTATAAGGAAAAAAAAGAGAAAGAATACAGCAAAACAAAATAAGAAAATAACTAGAAGATGAAGAAATCTCAAGAGAAAATGTTTCCATGGATACAGAGGACAAGAATTAGAAAAAATGAACATAATCCAGTCACTCAGAAGTGGGGAAAAAAAATCAAACAGGCCTCAGATTCTCCATGGCAAAGACAGCTCCATACTAAAAGACAGAAGCGTTATACCTAAAATAACCTCAGAAAAGCAAGTATTACCTCAAAACTTCATATTTGGCCAAACAAGGGGGAAAAAAAAACAGGTAAATAATTTTAAATACTAAGAACTCAGAATACTGTTCACTTGAAGACACACTTCAGTCACAAAGAGGTAACTGAAAGAACAATAATAAAACAACTAGCAGTAAACAATGAACATATTTAAATACATATAAGATTAAAATAAATGTGGAGAATATGGTTACAGAATGAAGCATAAATATTACGCACCTGGACAATGAAGAAATGATAATACTAATAAGAGTTGGGAAGAAAAAGGGAGAAAGAAGAAAAGAGGTAGAAAAATATGCCCATTTCCTTATATCTATTACCTAGGGTCAAAAAAATATCATTTAAAGCTGACAAGTCAAGCATATTTAAGAGAAAAATGAATACTATGAAAGATAACACATTAACCAAATTGAGCGGCAGAGAAGCAGCAAAATAAAAGGGTGAAAAAAGGAAAAATACTAACTTTACCATTACTCACAGCAGAGGTAGGTACTACCAAAGGAATTAGAGGATGAAGAAAATTAAATAAAGTTATGGTTTTAAAGTAAGCACTAGAGCAAAAATATAAACCAAAAGAAAGAAAACATGGCATAAGTTATTTAAAAAGTTATAAAAACCTAAAGCATAAATGAAACCTAAGATTAAATATATGTCTATCTATATAGATGGGCTACACTAAAAGAAAGACTAGCAGTACATTATAAAGCAAAGTCCAAATCTATGCAGTATATGAGAGATAAACCTAAAATAGAACAATTCAGAAAGATTGCAAATAAAAGAACAGGAAAAGGTGTATGTCAGGCAAATGCAATCCTAATCGAACCAAAGAGATGAACAAACAAAAATAAGGGTAGAAATATTAATACTAGACAAGATTGAAGTCAGGCAAAAACTTTAGATAAGACCAAGAAAGGCACTTTATAATGTTACAGTGAGAGATCCACACTGATGATTTAACAGTTACGATATAACACTGATATATATAGATACCTCTCTATAGATAGATATATAGACAGACAGACAGAGATACACACATATATTTACGATATAACACTGATATATATAGATACCTCTCTATAGATAGATATATAGACAGACAGACAGAGATACACACACATATATATATATATATATACACACACACACACACCAAACGGCATTAAACACCCATAAAGGAAGAACTACAGAAATAAAAAAGAAACAGAAATATATTCCTAAGAGGGAACTTTCATTCATATCCCTCAGCTCCTGACAGGCTAAGAGTACAAAGCAATCCCCACAGCAACAGGGAAACTCACAGAGTTAAAGTAGTAGATGCCGGTAACTGTGTGTCCCTTAAGCCTTTGTCCTTCAATGACTGTCTCAGCAGTGTGTGAAAATGGGTCACCCTGATATTTTCATTTCTAAATAATGATAAACAAGAGTTGTCCAGCCGTATTTTACCAGCTGGGTAAATAACCTGGCTAGGTTAATATTTTTGCTGCTATAAAATTTCCTTTTACTACATATTAAATGTGTAAAGAATTTCACATTTTCTTAGGCTTTGGAATGGGACATCTTGGTAGGGGCTCTTCAAGAGACGGGGTGTTCCAGGGTTCCAGCTTTAATTGTCCTTCACTGAAGTGTGACAACAGGAAGGTCCTATCTTCTCTCTGAGTCGCGGCTGCCTCTAACTGTCCAGTGAGAGAGGGAGGCTAAAAAGACTGCTAAAGTCTCTTCTAAATAAGAGTATTTGGGTCTAACTATGAAATATAAGACCTCATTTCTACAATGAGCTCATTGTGGGAACCCTCAGTTATCTGAGGTGAATTCAGCTTTGGAGACATTAAATTAAACTGTTCTCTGAGAACATTACACAGTAAACCGATCACTTAAAATTTTAATTTTTAATTGAGAAATGTCTCCCAGAGGGCACCTTCTCTCTGATTCTCCAGAGGATCCCGGCCAACCCCTTCTAAATAGCAATGCATGTCATGTCCTCAATTGTAAATGGAAACATTCTTTGGAGGCACAGGTACAGATGCAGGTTGCCATGGCACCAAAGGCATTGGTCTCTTTATTTGGACTTTTTCTTTGATACAGTCAGAAGAAAAAATAAATAAATAAAGGCAAGAACAAATGAAATTGATAATGTCCTGCCCATTCCCAAATCACTAATGTGCATCCCAAAGCCTTACCTGATTCAGAGCTAATGCCACAGCAAAACAGGATGCTCTCCTGGAGAGGACTTCTCCTTTGATTAGGGCTTCTTCTCTTAATGTACTACAGATTTTAAAAGACTCAGGGCTATTCTGGAAGAAGATAGGATTGCTCAATAAATAAATGCCATGAACTTTTAAGTTGATTAAAATGGTTAATAGACCTCAGTATTTCACATTTCTTTAGAATTTCCCAGAGCCTATCTCAATCCCCTTAACCTTAAGAACCAGATAGAAACTATTTGCAATTAGACCAGGTTACCTATATACTAGCAGCTCAAATCTAAATTAATTTTATTTTTAAAGCCCTTTGTCAATTTTCCAATCAGGGGCAGTTCCACCAGCAAACATACAGGTCTCTTCGTATCTTGGTGGTCTGGTTTCTGGACACAGGTACTATAACGTGAAAGTACAGTCAGCCTGCTACTACATTAAACGATAGAGTAAAGCTCAGCAACATGAAACCTTTCCTGAGAGGATTTCCAATCTGAAAATATTCACATAAGTCAAATATCTGAAAACATGAATACTAATTTGAACATAAATCATGAAAAGAATCCCATAAAAAGTGAAAACTAAAAAAATTTTTCGAGAATGTGAGTAATACACAAACTAGCAGATAGCAATGCTAAAACCAAATCACCTCCTTTGTACATGTTGTAGGTGGATTAAGCTTATGAGAGCAGCATCTATGTATATGTCATTACATGATTCACAATTCAAATCCTAAAGTAAAACCTGAATTTGATGAAAGAGGACAGTTCCCAGAACCGGCTTAGAACTTGTAATGGCTGACCAGTTCAATTTTTTAACTCTAGATTCCACTGAGTGAAACAAGTTATTCTTGGACACAATACAGGAGAGAAAAGTCCTCTGACCCTCGTAAGTGGTAGAATTAAATTCTCTCCACTTCAGTATACATTCTCAGAGGCATCTCTACGTAGGTTAGAAAACTGGATATCACAGTGCTGAATAACTGATGCTCAAGTGCTGTGTATTTTGTTGGCTTTCTGTTTTACAGAACCATAGAATGGTGTGATTAGAAAGGATTATTTAGTAATTCAGGGGTCATCAAACTATGACCCTCAGGCCAAATCCAGCCTAAGGCTAAAACTGTTTTAACACTTTTAAAGGTTTGTAAAAACACAAAGAATATGTGACCGAAACCATATGTGGTCCCTGAAGCCTAAAATATTTTCTATCTGGCTTTTTATAGAAAAAGTTTGTTGACTCCTGAATCTAAGCCCCTCGTTTCACAAATGAGGAAAGTGACCAGTTTAAAGCCAGTTAATGGTAAAGCTGAGAGTAGACAGCAAGTTTCTCAGTTTCTTTCCACTATAACCAACTGTCCCTTTTGTTTTGGAAAACTGGTATTATTGCTACACTTTTTAGGGAAGTTTTCAACGGCCCATGTTCTTCTGTGTTGGGAGCTGAGCTAAATTGGCCAGCTTTGAGATAAAGTATGGAGCTGAGTTAAATTGGCGAGCTTTGAGATAAGTAGTACTAAAACTATTTTAATCACTCAGTGCTTTCAAAGAAGGGAGTTGTGAAAACTGCATCTGTTTTGCAGGACAGGTAATTGGGCTGACCTTGAGTCTTGACTGCTGTTTTCTTATTGCAATGCTATAAGTAGTGTGTGTTGAATAAACTCAGGGACACAGACACAGACAGCTTGTATCTGTGCTCCCTCCTGCAGTTCTGTCTGTCAGATCTTTCTTTTCCTCAGTCCATGCTCCCCCTTTCAGGTACCCTGAATTACTTCGTCGGCTGGCACTGACACTTCTGCCTTGCTTGGAGTTCATTTTCAGCAAAAAAAGGGTTTGCTAAGTTTCCAAAGTTTAAATGGCATGAATGGTTATAGTTATGCATGGAACCTTGGTCAATGAACTATTTCAGTTATCATTCGTTCATTCATTAAATAATGAAGAAATAGTTTCTGTGTACAAGAAACAATACTGATACAGCAACGATGAAGTGACTGCTAAGTCATGCTCTCTGTCCTCCAAGAGTATATTTTAACATCACATACATTTATTAAAGACTGTGTACCAGGCACTGTGTTAGCTGCTGGCATACCAAGATGCCTCAAGGAGCTTATACTCTAGTGGAGAAGATGAAATGTGCCTCTACTTCGTACAATATCAGGCAGTGTTACAAGTGCTACATATGTGATACAAATAGAGTACAATCAAGGGATGCTGGAGGAGATTTCAACTTAGGTGATTATAAAGAAATTTACAGATGAGGACAAAGTAGCCTTTGAGGATGCCATGAGGGATAGAAGATTTCCCCTGGAGTGGAGCAGAGAAGGCTGGTCTAGTAGAGTCCACTCACAGCGGCGAGACCACGTGAAAGCAGAGCTTGAACCCAGAATACTGTTTCTTGTTCTCAGTATCCACACAATTGCCAGAGAAGAGTGAAAGATGATAAAATTGCTTTTTCCATAATAAAACTGTCTGACATGGCTAACTTGGGTTTTCTAAAAATGAACACATTTAAAATGGAAATATCTGCACCAGATGGAAAATACTTTGTAGGAACTGAATTTTATTGTAGAGAAAAAAAATTTCTCTCTCAAACACTATCCACAATGCCCTAAAGGTTGATGGGAAATAGTCTTACCAGTTTGTAGCAAATTGCAAAAGCAAGGACATAGGTATCTTTGCTGAACTTCACATCTTGGTTTTTCATCTCAATCAATACTTCCAATGCACCTGCGAAAAGTCAGGAGTGGGCCAGCAGTGTTAAATGCGTTTCAGTGAGTTCAGTCCTCTACTGATCCCCAGAGTTCTGATCTGCTCAGCACCATCTACTGAAAGGTGTATTTCAGCACAATAAAAGCTATTTGTCAAAATCATTTAGCAATTAACTAAATTTCAAAATTAATGATCAGGTCATATAGGAAGAACTAATATTTTAAAACCAGTTATAATTTCAGCATAAGTAAAGTCTGCAGTGTTGAGTTTAAGGCATGATATATGATGAGATCATGTTTTCACACTTACAGAATGAGGTCTCCATGATTCAGGAACCCATCAGGAATGTATAAATCATTTTGCATGGTCCACTGTTTTCTCTAACTCTATACCAGCAAAGATAGCAGAATTTTTCAGCAAACATAAATTGCAATACTTACTTTTATATTTGCCTTTGATGAATAACATATCCATTAAAATATTGAATGATGTGGAATCTGAGAAGAAACCTCGTAAACGCTGATAAAGAAAAACAATGCAGTTTGGTTAAAAGTTAAAATTATTAAGGGAGTATTTATCCTTATACTGCATCTTATTTGCCCAGGACTTATTTTTGTGCATACATGTTCATTTGGCCTCCTGAATTGTCTGATAAAATTTTGATATGCCAAAGATTTCTTTTTCAAAAAAATTAAAATGTCCACTCTCTTGGTTGCCATGCCTTTGGCAATGGGCACACTGAACAAGAGGCAAGAGGTATAGTAAGACATCTCTGGATTTCAGAAATATGATGAAGAACATCTTCATGAAATGTGGTTCTGCCATGCTTAGGAGAAAAGGAACAAGCCAATTAACTCTGATGGGAGTGGTCTTGGAACCTGAGTGGTAGGTTAATATGCTGAGTGGCAGCATAGTAACATGAAACGGCAGGTAGAAGTATAGTTTACTTGAACACTAAGACAGGAGAATCTAACACAACTATGATCCTCTTTTGGCAAACAAATGTTACAGAGTTGATTATTCACCTTTTGAAATAATTCACTATAATAATCATAATTATTATTATTTAGTAAATAATTTATTCAACATTTTAAAATGTTTGCAACATTTTCCCCCAACATTTTGAATGCCATGATATTCAGTTATGCCATTAAATGCCTTGCTCAAGTTTGTTCTTTTTTGAGAGCCTACTATGCAGGCCCTGTTCTAGGTGCTGAGAAAAAAGAAATTATAAACAAGACATAGACTCTGCTCTAAACTCTACTGGGCTTATAATTTAGTGGAGCTTAAATTCTGACAGGGAGGCAATGAACAAGTGAATAAAACAAGAGAAAAAATATATATCTAATTTCAGGTTATCAATGAGGGCTATGAAAAACAATGAAACAGGATAAATGGGTAGAAAAGATGATGGAAAGTGGTCAGGGAAGGCTGAGAAGAGAACTCAGTGAAGGAGAGGAGAAAGCCTCAATGATGTATGTGTAGAGCATTCCAGTCTGAGGCCATGGGCTTGGCATGTCTGAGACAGAACACGAAGGTCCAGAGTGGAGTACACAAGGGGGAGAGTGGTGGGAGATGAGAAAACACAAAGGGCCCTCTAGGTCATGGTCAGGGGTCTGAGTTCTATTCTATGTGTGATGAGAAGCCACCAGAGCAGCCCTGTCCACAGAAAAATATTGCAGGCCACGAGTACGTGCCATACCTGTGATTCTAAATTATTTTCGAGTAGCCTCATTTTAAAAAGTAAAAACACATAAAATCAATTTTAATAGCATGTTACTTAACCCCCTCAATCCAAAATTTAACTTCAACATGTAATCAATATAAACAATTATTTAATGGTACTTTACATTCTCTTTTTTTATACCAAATGATTGAAGTGTATCACGTATTTTACACTTACATCACATGTAAATTTGAAATAGCCACAGTCCAAGGGCTCCAGAGATACATGTGGCTAGTGGCTACCATACTGGCAGCATTGCAGGGCTCTGGGTAGTGGACACAACAGTTAGGGTGGAAGCAGGATTAGAATTTACATCACTTGACTCAAATTCAGTTTATTCTACTATTCCAAAAACGTACTCATACATAAATGTTTCAAACACAGGTAGGTTTAAAAAACACAAAAACTTTACTTTTGTTTTCTTCCTCTTTTGCTTGTTTGTTTTTTATCATTTTATTCATGGGTATGATTTCTTACAGTGTGAAACTTTTATTTTACTTACATTAACACATGCTTATTATAAAACAGTCAAACAATACAAAAATGTAGAAAGAAAAAAGTGAAAACTTCCTATAAATCTATCCCCTAAAGATAAGCAGTTTAGTGTATATCTTCCCAGATATTTAATATGTATTCTAAAATGTAAATACATATTTATTCTTTTAGAAAAAAATAGGCTCAAACAAATCCATACTGTTTGGAAACCACCTACTCTCTGCTCACTAATATATTATGGTCATCTCTCTAGAGCATGGGTGTCCTTAAAAGAGGGGTAAGCCGAGAGTTAACAGTTCCACTATAGACAGAAAACAGTAAGAGGCAGAAGGACAACTTAGTTATGGAGGTTCCTAAAAATACTAAAATGTCCCTGGTGACCAAACCCAGCCCTAAAATACAACAAGTGTTTGTGATCATACACAAATTTATAATGTCTCTGCGTCTCAGTTTCCTCATCTGTAAAATGGAAATAATAGTATCTAGCGCCCCAGGGCTATTGTGGGAAACAAATGAACATATAAAGTGCTTAAGTACAAGGCTGAGGACATAATAAGTATTCAATAAACAATTTTAAAATAATTATTGTTACTTTTGTTTTTAGGAAAAGAAAATTGGAACATGTGAAAGTGTTCTGAAAAGAAAAGCACTTTACAATGTAGCCTTCAACCAAGCATAAAAATACAAAAAAAAAACCAAAAAAACAAAAAACACAGGAGAAAAGCACAGGTGAAGGATAGGAAAGGCAATCTTTAAATGGCAGCCTGTCTTAAACTATCCCCAACTAAAAGTTCCTCAACGGTGAGGATGTCAGTCCCAGGTGGACACATATCCAAGGTAGGTAGATACCTTGTAATCTATATCTACTACACCTCTTCCACATCTGTTCTACACCTCTGTATAAAAAGACATTCATTGCATTATAGGAACTGACTCCAAGGAAACCTTAAAAATGGGAGGAAGAGCTCATTCATTTGGCCCAACAGCCCTTCTCTAATAATAATACGTATAGGGCAGTGCTTTCCTAATATCATTAAAAACACCTGATCCAAAGCACAAGGAAATCACATTGGCAGGGAAAGCAATCAGGAGACAATAACCTGGTCTTTGATGAGCTCCACTGCAGACTCCTCAAGATCCAACTCGTAGCACAACCTCATGAAAAGTGGTCCAAACTTATATTCCCCCAAAGTGATATTTCTGTTCTCTGCATGGTACCTGGTAATCAAAATGATTCAATGAACCAAGTTGTGGGACGTAGGGAAAAAGACAGATAGACCGTGGCATGCAATCTGCTAGGTGTTGGGGACACAACAAAGGAAGAGATACTCTCAGAGTTTGGAGGGGAAAAGTGCAGAACTGAGGATAATTAGAGGAATCTTGGAGTGCAGAAATATATTAGGCATTTAAATAAGCAAATCAACAAACAGGGTTTGTCAAAGGCCCACATACCCTGTGAAATAAAAGAAGAAAATGTACACTGTAACCATTTCAATTTACCAACAACTGGCTAGGACTGAGTGTGAGCACATATCAAAAAACAGCAGGGGTCTCGCATCTGTGAGCCCATCATAATGGCACTACCTCTCTGTGTGGGCCCCACCTACAGAGGAGAAAAGGAAAAGGGTGGGGTGATGCTCTGTCCCAGTTAAGGCTGCTGGCAGACAACCAAGATGCATTTTACAATTTAGACCAATCTCTCTGTTTTTCTCAGCTGGGGGAAAGGCATATGTGACCTACAATCAACTAGCAAAACAAGTTAAATATAGAAATTTTAGTTTTAGGAAAAGGCAAATTTCAAAGACAGTGATGTCTCATATGTGGCTTGAGATTTCTTCCAGTGGCCAGTCTGCCACTTAGACTTGCAGAACTGTAAATCACGAGCATAAATTTACTTTCAATGACCAATGCTTTGTGCTTTAGACACCAAGGAGGCAATCTGGTGACAAAACTAGTACCTCATGATTACACATAAATCAGGATTTAGGAAGATTTGTTCATTATGTGAACAAATCCCAAAAGTCAGAGGAAAAGCTCTGACTTTAAAAAATGGAATACTTTTTAACCTTCTGCTGAAATTTCTGAAGAAAGTCTTAATAGCCTTATGATAAGCCATCCTAAACATATAGACTGCCAAATAGAATGATTTGTACTTTTTAAGATACATTTCAAATTCTAATTATAGAAATTTAAAAAAATTCATTGCTTCATTACAACAGTTATGAATTAAGTTATATCAAAACATTAAGTCGTGACATCTTAAATAAATGTAATTATTTGTCAATCAGACCTCAATAAGCTAGTAAGAAATGTTATTACAAGGAAATATAGTATAGTAAATGGAGATTTTTTAGACTTTGATTCTAACCTGACAGTTCAAATCCCAGCTCTTCTACTTATTCACTGTGTAACCATGAGCAAAATAACCAACTACTCCACGCTTCAGTTTCCTCACCTCTAAAATGGAGATAAGAAGAGAACTCAACTCAGATTTTTTGTGAAGATTAAATGAGATAACATGCCTGGCGCACAGCTAGTCTTCCATATATGTTAGCACTTATAAAATGTAAGACATGCTGAGGAAAACATCTTTAAAAATAAACATATTTCAGTAAATAGTCTCATGAGAAATTTGTGCCAGATTAAAAACAAAACAAAGCAAGAAAGAAAAGTTTTCTCATTTTAAATGATATTCGCACTAATAAAAGTCCTAGAAAGCACGGAGATAATATATCACCTTGCCAAAAAATTTTTAAGTTAGAGAATCTAAAATCCCTCTGTAAGGCAAACAACAGAAATGGTAAAGATTAGGATGGGATTAAGCTGTTCCTCATTTTGGGCTCAATAAAGAGTTTTTATGTTTCAGCTTATTACTCTTCTTGCCCAGACATCGGCCGCCTGGCTCAGGAAGTGAAGGAACAGGTTGGTTAGGCCGTGGACCTGCCCATCTTCCCCCTTGTCCAGCTGTCCACAGTACATGGAACGGACAGCTACTGGGCAGAGTCAATAGCATCAATAAAGGAATTATGAGTCACATTGTGAAGGTTTATTAGAGAAATCAGAGAGGAAAGAGAGTTCAAAATTTTATCCTGTTTTATTACTCTTATAAACATCTGATAACGTTGGGTAGAAAAAAAAACACACAGTAAAACAGGTCAGATTCAACTTCATGAAATAGAAATAACAGATTTAGGTTTACTGATACAATGTGACTGTAAATCAGCATAACCCTTTGGGAAAATAATCTGGCAGTTCCTACTGACAAGCTTTAAAAGGTTTGTACCCTTTGATTAAAAAAGAATATAAAGAATAAGTTTTATGCATAGAGTAGCTCATCATGGCATTTCTATACTGGTGAAATGTTAGATAAATTTAGACATTCAACAATAGGGGCACAGTTAATTAAAATGCCTAACATACAATGGAATATTGTATAGCCATTAAAATATGATTCCTAAGTATATGACTAACAAGCAAAAACATTTATGCTATAATGTTAATTAGAAAACAAGAAACTATCATTATATATATAATAATATTTATAATGACAATATATATAATGATATTACACAAAATCCTTGCATGAAAAATAGTGAGGATGTATTTTTGATCTGCACTTGGGAATCAATGATGAGGGCCAACTTCAGGTATCTGCAGATTTTCAACTGCGCAGGTGGCACACACCCCTAACCTCTGCGTTGTTCAAGGGTCAAAAGTGTATCAAAATATTAACAGTGATTTCTTAGATGTGGTAGACAGTCCCCAAATATGGCCACCATCAAGTCCTCCCCTCCCTGTATGTGTGTGCTGCTCTATCCACCCAGAGGTATAATCCTTTCTTCTTCCTATAAATCTGGGCTGGCAGGGTAACTTGCCTTGACCAAGAAAACGCACTAGAAGTGAAGCTGTGCCAATTCTAGGCAGTTCTACAAGGCCTGCAGTGTCTACTTGTGCTGTGGGCCAGTGCGGCTCAGGCTAGATCCATGAATGGTGAGATACTATAAGGAGAGAGAGGGCCTTATGGAGGGTCATGGAGGCATCAGAAATACAAGTGAAACCCTGGAACTTCCAGCTCAGCCCAGCTACAAGCTGACTATAGATGAGCAAGTGACTTTAGTCACCACCAACAAAGAACCGCCCAGCTGAGACAGGCCTCAGTTCCTGACCCACAGAGTTGTGAGAAATAAGAAATAATCCTCATTTTAAGCCACTGGGTTCTGGGGTGATTTGTTATGCAGCAAGAGACAACTAAAACAGCAGAATTTGTGATATATTTCTTCTTTCTCCTTTTTTGGTGTTTTTCAATTTTTCAATAAATTTTGAGTAATTTTGTTTTTCTTTTTCCTTTTTAAAAATAACATTTTTTCACATTATAAAATTGATAATGTCCACTATAAACGAGTTGGAGAAATCAAAAAAGTACACATTTACACAGACCAAAAAAATATAGAATATGTAACTCCCAGAGGACCTTGGTTAACTTTTTATATTCTTCTAGTATTCTATACATATCTTGTATTTCACTCTATATATTCACAATATAAATGCAAGTCCATATATAGAAATATGTATTTAAAAAATATCAAAAAGAAGCAATGAATTTCATAAATGAAGCCTGTTGATTTGTTCCCGAGTAAGAGAAACCTGTACTGGGTTTCCTAAGAGCAGACTATGATTTCATATGAGAGCTTCTTCTGACATGGAAAACTGACAATGGATCAGAGACAATGGAACACTGAAGGCATAAGCTTCAAGGAGGAAGACTAGTTAGGAGTCCACTGAAGTGATCCATGTGAGAGACGTTGAAGCCTGAACTAAGACACTGATGATGGGAACAGAGAGAGGAAGGCTAGAGATGAGAGATCCCAGGGAAGTGGAAGCAGTCTTACTTCTTACCCTATCAGGGAGGAGAGCAAATGAAATTAGGAGAAAGGCTCCCAGGTATCTGTCCTGAGTGACTGATTAGTTTTATAAAATGAATGTGAAGACCTAGGAGATGTGTAAGTGGAGTTAATGAACAGGCTGGTGATTTGGGGGGACATGAATTCTGTTTTTTCTAACCTCAGCACCTGGCATATAGTACAAACCCAATAAATATTTGCTAAAAGAATGGATATAAATGTCTGGAGCTCAGGGCAGGCATCTGAACAAGAGATTTGGAAGTCATCAGTGTATAGGTGATGACTGAAATCTTGGAAATAGACAAGATTGCTCAGGAAAAGGAACAGAGTGAGAGGAGACAAGGGCTGGCAGAGTTCTAAGAAAATGCCTCACCTGTAAATGACATTTTTAGCCAGTTCCACGTCGCCCCGGGACTCACACAAATGAAGCAAAGTTCTCAACTCCTCCTTCAAGATGAGCTTGTTCTGGGTCAATTTCTCTTCCAAGTTTCTCAAATAGGTTTCTGGAAGAAAGCACAGGGTGGTGGCCATCACTAAGGCTGACTGGGACTGTCAGAGTCTGACCTCAGGGAGAAGAGGAAGCCAGAACTTGGCACGTTGCAAAGGGGCGCTGGGAGGGGCTCATGGCTATGCAGCTCCTACCACTGGCTGGTCTTCCCAAGAGCAGTGTTAGAGATGGTGCATGAAGTAAAGCATCTGTGACACAGAGGAACAAGCCCAGGCCCCACTCATAACTTTCTATCATCTCTGGGGACAGGAGCACAAGCATATACATTTTTGACTACTTGGGTGATCCTTTTGCACACTAAAGTTTGAAAATTAATATCCCAGAGGTTTATCCCAAATAACTGTATCTATAGGTGACCCACGAGAGAAGAAAGGAAGGAAGAAGGAAGGAAGAAAGGAAGGTAGGAAAGAAGAAAATATAACTAAAATATCCAAATTATCAATTGGCAGGGCACCTAGCAGAAAAACTGAAAGGAAAATGTGAACTGAAGATGAGTTTACCCACAGTGGTTGACTCACATGATTCAGGAATACATCACGTCTCTTTCATTTGGTTCAACTTTAACTCTCTTTCATCCCTCTTTGTCTCTCTCTACTCAGTTGTTAGAAAGCATGCCATGGGACTATATAATGCACATGGGGGGAAAAACAGTCCCCTTTTAGTAACAGAAGCATTTCAAGGTAATCATAATGTCTCCGTCCCTCGTCTTGTATCTGATCAACTGCAGGGACAAACACCAAAAGGTTGCTTCTTGGCACTGGGAAGGGACTGTATTCTCGCCAGAATGTGGGGTGAGATGCAAGGCAGGCACCAAGCAAGCATCTGCTTTCCAGAAGGCAGAGCTGTTCTCAGTATCAGAAACTGCCAAGAAAAGTTTACAGGATTTGCTTCAAGGCCCAGAACTTCGAAGGAATGCTGCTTAAAGGAGTGGCACAATATACATTAAAAACACAAGATCTGGAAGTTGAGACAGACACTGTCTTGATTTACAAGAAAAGAAAGCCCGCTAAGTTTAAGATAATGTAGTGGTTCCTCCAATCTTTATTTGCAGAATCACATAATAGTTAAAAGTTTTAGAGATAAAAGAACCTGGGCTGAAATCTAGGCTCTGCCACTTGCATGCTGTGAGGAGACCCTGGTCTGTGACACCTAAGTCCTCATGTGTAAAGTGAATATCATGATACCTACGTCACAGTGGCATGAGATAATGTATGTAAATCATTCAGCACAAGGCCCAGCATGAGGTAACTGTCAGTAAATCACAGACATTATTGTTCTCACTTTTATTCCTTCCATCACCTCTTAGATTGAAGAGAATTTATTCTATTAAATATTTCTAAATAATTTCCAATATAAAAGATATTGAAAGATATTTCAATAGGATGACTATATCTTGTTCTTTTTAATTCTTCTTAATAAATTTTAAGAATCCAAGATTTCAACAGATTTAATTTGTATTTTAAAATAAATCGATCAAGATTTAAGTGCTTATCATATATTCATACTCGAAGGTATGGTTCCTGCCTGCCCTGAAAGAGCAAAGTCTTTTCAAGAAGGCAAGATAGATTTATAGAAAGCTCTCTGAAAACAGTCATAGAGCAGGTGACCCATGACTGACTATAAACTTAACAGTAGAGAAGAGAGAAATCGGGGTGGCAGAAGCAGACCAGGTTTGGTGGAAGTGGAGAGTTACCAGAGAGGAAGGAGCGGCTGAATAGGGTTGGAGAAACTGAGAAGAGTGGATAATTTTAGGTATGAGAATCAGCATGACCAACAGCATAGAACTAGGGGGAGGGGGAGAGAGAAGGGAGAACCGTGACTAGATTAATAGGAAATCACGCTGGACTCCAAAAAAGGTAAGGTCCCTTATGGCAGAGCCAGGAAGCCAGGGGGCGAGTTTGTACATGATGTCATATATAACAGTACCATCTGGGGTTCTTAGAACGATGAAATGTTGACAGGATTTTATAAATATCAATCTGACAATAGAGTGGATTGGCACTCCTTAAATGAATTGCTTTTCAAAACAAATGCACAACTATTGCAGCCTTAGAAAGACTATGACCATTGGAAATAACAACCAGATAATGACATAAGCCCTTATTTTGCAAATTTCACATAGCTCCAAAAGGTCTGGGATAGGGGAAAAAAAAGGCTGAAATAAAATCTAGATTGAGTCTACTAAACTGGAGATTAACATATTCTCCCTCACTCTCAAAGCTTATCTTCTTGTATGGTAGGTGGTATTATATAACAGTATGATTAATGGTGAAGTGAGGGAAAACTGATTTCTGGAGGGCAGGGAGTGAAGAGAAGCAAGAAATGTTAATTAGGTGCTCATAAACATTTGATAGTGAGAGGAAGGAGAGCTGAAAAAGTCAATAGGGACATTAAAGAGTTATTAAAAGGGAGGAGAGTCTTGCTTTGTTTATAAAGGAATTTGAAGTACTTACTGGGCAGGAGAGAAAGAATGAATGCGACATGATTTCTTAGATGCTGAAAGGGACTTAGGTGGTGGTGTGCTTTCAGCTTTTTATGAAAAAATTTTCAAACATACCCAAAAGTAGAACAGGATAACGACCACCCATGAACCCATCAATCACCCAGCCTCAACAATTGTCAATATATTCTTAATTTCTTCAAATAAATTTTTGTTTTAGCCTATTGATTTTTCCAGCACAAGGTTGAAAATGTGAAAACGCATCATTACATCTAGCACTGTTTTATTTCATTTTATCTCATTTTTATATAGATATGTATGTGTGTATTAAAGATGCAACATAAAATGTACTTTTTAACGAGGGTTGCATCAAAAAGTTTAAAAGCCAGTCATCAGAAGCAGGTCTTCTCAGACTTTACTGTGTATACAAATAGTCTAGGGTATGAGGTTTGGCATTTCTATCAACCTCCTAGTTGCTGCTGATCCTTGACCCTTACTTTGAGAGGCACAGATCTAGAGAGGGCTGGTTGCAGTACTGGTTTTAGTATCTCTCCGGGATACTAAGTAAAGGGATAAGAAGAGAGCTGTAGACTGTAGTAGGAGAGTGAGATGAACAGTTCATGAAAGGGAAGACCAGGAAGCTAAGAATAAGTCATCTCAATTCTTCTTGAGACATAAGGTCACTGAAGGAGAGATTGATTAGGGATAAACATAGATTAAACCTCAATGACAGATCAATTGAAAAGAATTAACAAAACCAATTTGATTACCTTTGCTGCCAGGAAGATTACATGCAATAGCCACCTTCTTATGCTGAAATTCTTTTAATTTCATAATATTATCTGTAAGTAGATATCTTTTAGCTAAAAATTAGAGAAAGAAAAAGTAAAATCATTTTGAGTGTTTTATATTTTGTACATAACATGAGTAGAGCTTAACAACCTCTACTAACTGATCTTATCTTCACTTAATATAAATAGTCCATCTAGATAGGTACAAATATAACAGTCGCCCCAGTGGGGAAAAAACCATCTCCAAACTACTAGAGAATGCAAATCCTCAGCATGACAAGTTTTGTGTTTGTGGAAGGAGCTAGTGATTAACTGTGTATGGGGATGGGTTAACAGGAATCTGGGATCTGAAAGACAGACATTCACCATCTCGTTAAGGGATAACAAAGAAATTTAAAAACAAACACAAATTAAAGACTATTGTTTAAATGCAAAACAGGTATATCTAGTTTTGGTTTATCTATGTAGAATCATATAGTGTAGCGGGAAAAGCTATAGTGTGACCATTGGAATTTCCAGTTTTCATTTGTGAAATGAGGAGTTATGACCTCTCAGATTTGGACTCTAAGTGTCCTCAAGACCACAACAGAAATCACTGACCACAACTTAATAGAAGAGATGAGTTCGGGAAATATCATCATTTATTTAGGATGCTTGGCTGTGCATGGAGTGGAGCATGGCCGCAGAATCAACAACTAAGAGCTCTGAGTACAGCAATAACAAGGTAACAATAAAAATTTCTATTTATTTATGGAAAGGCAGTCCAGAGAAGTGGTTACAGCGGGACTCCACTGTTGGGCTGCCTGTGTTGAAATTCTAACCCTCTGCGTTGAGCAAATTAGATAAGACTTGCTGTTTACTCCTCTATAAATGAAGAAAAGAATGATACCTCTCTCACAGGGTGTTGTGAGGAGAAAAGGAATGAGTATATGTAAAATGGATTAGAATAATGCCTGATACAAAGTAATAAATATTTTATTTTCACTCACCAGCGTTTTCAAGTAATCATTTTCATAAAGATATTACGAAACAATTTTACAAATCAAGGTCTTTGCTAGCTAACACCTCCGCTCCCAATCTCTGCAGTACAGTATCCAAAAGGGAGAGGAGTGTTTCCGGAGAGCAACGTACCCCCATTGAGGGAATACTACAGCCCCAAGGTCAAGACCCCAGCCCGGCTGTCCCCGGGTTCCCAGGCCCACGGGCGTCCATGACAGCCAGGGGCCACCACTTCACCCACGCGCAGCCAGAGGGCGAGGGCACGCTCGGCTGATCCAAACCAGTGAGTAACCGAAGCACTGTTATTTTCCCGAAGTGATGCCCACTGGGGGGTAAAGGTCCCTTGTGTCTCATCCCTCCCTCCTTCACGGATGGAGGCCGACGATACCTCCGAGAGGGCTGCGGCAGCAGGTGAAGCATGAGCCTCCCACCCCTGAATACACGAAATACCGCAGTGCCTGCAGCAGGACTTGCTTCGGGATGCGAAATGCGGCAGCCATGCTGTTCCGGGCCGCACCAACTGCGGGAACCGGGGGAGGGGCGGTAGTGTCGGCCGACTGGAACCACCCCTTTCTTTGCTCGTAACCCCCCGGACCGGCGTTCTCTTTGGTATGCTCCAAGATGGCGGCCCCCATGGTGCGGCGCGGGATCCTCCTGGCGCGGAAAGTGCCTCTGTCTCATCTCTCCCTGGCAGGTTCGTGGCTGCTGTTTGTAGGGCTGCTTCATTAGATTCCTGAGAATATGTTCCCTGAGTAGAGTGAGCAATGGGCTTTCAAGAGAAGAAACGCTTCTGAGACCTAGTTGCTAGAGAAACTATATGGGGCTTTTGGTAGCACAGAAAGGGAAGGTAGGATCTCTGTCCCATCTCCTTCCATAAAATAATAGTGTCTGCCCATCCAAAGATGTAAAGAGCAGAAAAAGTCAAGGCATGAACACCTTTGCGTATTATTTGTTGAGTTTGTGTATTAGGGTGGTTGTCTTTTTGCCGGCTGTGAATAGCCCAAATGTGTCCACCCTGAGGCCATGATTTTTTCTCCCTGCTGAGCTTTCCTTGGAGGGGCGTGCTAAACGTTCTCCCCACCACCTTATGCTTGGCCAGACCCCTGGTCTTCAGTTGGTGGAATAATTTTTCAGTATACTAATCTCACTTTACCTGATGACCTTGGGCACAACTTTTGATTGACCTTTCTTTGCTACAGTTTTCCCCATATATACAATAAATGCTAATAGTTACTTCTAAAGTACTTTGATATCTGAGTGAATGGCAGCCTACTCAAAACCTGTTAATGGATCTGCTGATAAAGACATTGGAAAAACTTTTTAACATTTCCAGGAGCTAAATCCTGACAAGTGTATATGATTATATGATTAAAATGGAATAATCACAATCTGTATTTCCAGTGCCTGTTAACTTCTCTTTCCAATATACTTCCTTTGGCCCCTATAAAAAAGCAACACATACACGCTTACTCACTCTTCTTTAGGAACAGCCATTAAATATCAATGTGAAACTTCAAATTTGGCCACCAGAACTTTTCTGAGGATTAACTAACTGGTTGACCTATCTGGTGAAGATATTTAATGCCACACATTAGGTAAAATGGTATGCACAGTACCTGGAGCCTCAGTAAGAATTAGCTATTGTAACTGTTTATGAATGTTTAGTTATGGTTGTTAGTAAGTACTTTTCAATTTAAACAAAACAGATTGTCTATCAGGGAGAGTATCATGGTTGCTTAGAATATTGGGGGGCAATCATTCTAACAAGGGAATGGAGATTAGATAAGGGTGAATTGAGAGAATTTCCAGTTGGCATTTTGTTCTTAGTTTGAACTGGTGAACTTGTGGTAGGTTTTACACCAGAGCTTTTACATCATGTTACCTACTAGCTACATATGGCCATTTAAATTAGTTAAATAAAATTTAAAATTCAGTTTTTTAGTTGCAATAGCTACATTTTAAGTGCTCCATAGACACCTGTGGCCGTGGCTACTGTATTGGACAACTCAGAATTGAACATTTCCATCATTACAGAAAGTTATATTGAACAAGCACCGGGTTAAACCACAGGAGTCTTGACATCAGGAACTAAAAGCTATAAGACAAGTAATAAAAGTGGATAGTGCATTATGAACCAACCACTCAGGATTTGAAAATGCTGATAAGGATTTTCAGCATTAAATCAGAACATCTGGAAATCATTACAGGATAAGAGAAGAAAAATAATGTACTTTGTACAAACTTATAGCAAATCAATATTTGGAACACTTTGCTACTCCCATTGACTCTCTTTACATCATAATGAAGAAGGGCAACTAAAATGATCAGGAGGATGAAAGGAAACTATTGAAATGAACTAAAAAGTGACTTCACCATAGGAAGAGGCTAGAGAAAGAAAACTTAACTGGGCACTTACTGCATAGGAGACATTAGGCTAGGCACTTAATTTTGTATATATGCCCTATTTTAAACTATGGTACAAGGTCCGCATTTTCCCGTTTTACATATGAAGAAGCTCAAGACCTAACTTGCCCGCATTTTCATAGCATTTACTAGCAAGACAGGGATTCATACTTAGAGTTTGTGACTCTAAAGCCTGAGTCTACAATCATACTGCTTCCCTTTGAATGGGAAACATGCTTGGAGACAGTTGACCAAAGTCCAAAATAACTATAAAATGATTATTGGTAAGGATGGAGCCAATTACTTTTCACTAAACTTTGAAATTCTGGTCCTTGGAGGTATCTTTTTAGAATTAAATGGAGAAAATATTTATTTTTATAGTAAATTGAGAATATAGTTGCCTCAAAAGCTGAGAGGTAAGCAGGTTCAAGATGAGTTTATATGTACTCTCAGGTGACATACTCAAGACTCAAAGACCTAAACTTGTGAGGCTGATACCACTCTATCTCCTGCTACTTCTATGTGATCTGAAAGTCAACATCATCATCATCACCTGGGAACTTGTTAGAAATGCAGAATGTCTTTTTCCACCCAGGCCTACTAAATCAGAATCTGCATTTTATCAAGCTTTATATGCACATTAAAGTTTGAGAAGCTGACCTAGATTTTACACTTAGCCATTGTTCACCCAATTTAATGTTCCGTCTGACTTTATAGAAATTCTTTGATTCCAGTATTAATATGCAGACCTTCTAACTATACAGAGACAGAAAGATTTTAGATGGTGTCACTTATAAAAGTATATCAAAGATGAACATCCTGCTTTTTTTAAGGCTCACAGAAAATGGAATGTCTGTCTTTCATAAGGTGTAGAATAGAGCCAAAACGTTTTCACTAAACTTTGAAATTCTGGTCTTTGGAGGTATCCTTTCAAAATGAAATGGAGAAAATATTTCTTTTTATGGTAGATAGTTAAATTAGAGAATGTGGTTGCCTCAAAAACTGGCTGAAGGGTTACCAAATTACCATAAATTTGGTAGCTTAAAACAGGTTACCAAACTACCATAAATTTGGTGGCTTAAAACAGCACAGATTTATTATCTTACAGTTATGTAGTTCAAAAGTCTGACACAGTTTTACTGTGCTAAAGTCAAGGGGTTGAAAGAGATGTGTTCCCTTTGAGAATCTCTAAGGAAAATCTGTTTCCTTGTCTTTTCCATCTTTTAGAGACCACCTGCGTCCCTTAGTTGATGGTCCCTTTCTCAAATATCTTCAAAGTGAACAATGGCAAGTCAAGTTTTTACATCACTCTGACTTTCAGGCATCACGCGAAAAATCTGACTCCCTCTTCCAGCCATCACCACAATCAATTTAGAACATTTTTACCACCTTAAAAAAAAGAAAACCCAAAAACCTAAACCCATTAACAATTACTCCCCAATTTCCCCCAAGCTTTCCTGACCCACCTACCCTCCAAGTCTAGGCAACCACTAATCTGTTTTCTGTCTCTATAAATCTGCCTATTGTAGACTTTTGATATAAATAGAATTATATATGTGTGGTCTTTTGTGACTGGCTTCTTTTTCACTTAGCATAATGTTTTAGAGATCCATCCATGTCGTAGTATGTACCAGTACTTCATTTCTTTTTACTGCTGAGTATTTCTTTATAAGAATATACCTCATCTTGTTATTTCAGCAGTTGATGAATATTTGCATTATTTCTACTTTTTGGCTATGATGAATAATATTGCTATAAACGTTTGTATACAAATTTTTGTGTAGATACATCATTTATTTCTCTTGGGTGCATATCTCAGAGTGGAATTGCTGGGTTATATGGCAACTCCATGTTAATATTTTGAGGAACTGCCAAACTTTTCCAATGTGGCTGCACTATTTTACATTTTCTGCAATGTATGAAGGTTCCAGTTTCTCTATATCTATATCAACAGCTGTTATTATCTGTCTTTTTGATTATAGTCATCCTAGTGGGTATGAAGTAGCCTTTCAATGTATTTTGCAATTCCCTAATGACAAATGATACTAAACATGTACTTGTTAGCCATTTGTATATATGTATATGTTTGTGTGTATGTCTAGTTTTTTGTTTTTTTTTTTTAGAAACATTGGTTCAAATCATTTGTCCATTTTTCAGTTGGATTATTTGTCTTTTTAAATTTTGAATAGTAGGAATTATTTATATATTTTGGATATAAAGCTCTTATCAGATAAATGATTTGCAAATATTTTCTCCCTTTCTGAGTTGTCCTTTTGCTTTCTGGATAGTGTCCTTTGACACTTTTGAAGCACAAGTTTTTTAATTTTGATTAAGTTGCCATTCATTGTTTCTCATTCATTCTTTGAGCTTATCTTTATTGAATACTGCCATATTTCAGTCATTGCACCAAGTGCTGGGAATACAGCTATGCTATCTAATGTGTTACCTCAAATTTAGCTCATTATGTTTCTCTTGTGTACCACTAGGGTGCTGGTTTACTGGGTAAGATACTATTGTTTGCTTTATGTGAAATAAAGGTAAGTCAGATGGAAAATTTTTAGGACTAACTAATGATTATAAAGCATTTAATTAATGATTTAAACAATAATTCAGCAAGTGTTTTTGTGCCAAGGAATTTTAAGGCTCACCTAGGCTATAATTTAGTGGAAACCAATGGCTGCTAGTCCTAAAGTTATAGGATCAAAATTACCAGCAGTTTTACCCATAACATTACTGCAAAAATTTTCACTTTTCTGCATCTTCTACTTATTTGAGGTTGAATGCATTTTGTCATGAACTAAATTGTTAACTGTTTAATGTTGGTTACAGTGTCATTCTAGAATCTTTAAATAATCTAATAAATTGAAGATATGACAAAGATATGTTTAATAAAGCTGGTATATAAATAGAACCTTTTGTGAAGTCATATATGTTGATATAATCACCTTTTTCCTCAGGTAAAAGATGCCTGCTTTCTTCAGCATATGTGGATAGCCACAAATGGGAAGCAAGAGAAAAAGAAGATTGTCACCTTGGTAGGTATCTATATATCATTTCAGTTACTCCATATGTTTATTATATACTCATATGATGTATATATGAAATGATGCTTTTATGATAATCTAATTCAGATAGTCACATTTTAGGTCTTAAAAAGAATTAAGACTTGTTTCACATGTGGCAAAATTATTTTTGGTATCCTGCAAATTTGTTTCATTTTTGCCTTGACAATTAGTCTTCCTAAATTATGTAAGCAATTCTTTTTCTTGTTTTTGTCCATTTTTATCATATAGTTAGTTGCCATGCAGCCTGTCTCTGTTTTACTTTATCTGCAAAGAAAAATATATTTTCTACTTTCATCTTTATTGTCATTTCTTAACTTGTGGTCTTTAGAAAACTTTTTGACTCTTCTCCATTTCATTTCCTCATGATAGATTCGAAAGCAGTGTTATAATGTCATATAAGCCATTTAGGGAAAACAGTTGGCTCACATCTTCTCAGGCAGTAGGCTCCTAATTATACAGTAATCCCTTTTCCCTGTTCCCTATGTCATATTACACAGATAGCAGCCTTTCTTTTATAAAATAACAAGGCCTAAAAGAAATCACTGACCTTATGAGCATTTTTTTAAAATATAAATACTTTACGTATAATATGTATTATATATAACATCATTAGGACATTAATAAAGTCAGATGATTGGTGATAGTTTTATGAGACTAATGTAATTTTTGGATCAGTTCCATAGCTGATCTGATGTTTTCCATCAGATTTTTTTCTCTGCCTTTTTGGCTTATGTTAGATAAGAATAAAGTCCCCCTGTGTTTATGGATTCTTCCCATAACTTGGCAGTGGTGGGGAATGTTCTTTTATAGCTACCTATTAAGAGCTACCTTGGGAGCGGCAGAGGGTAGAGTTGGGTGGGAATGTTCAAAGAACCCATAATTTTCTCTCTTGGTAATATGAGTGCAAGAGCAAAGTTGGTTTGTGAGACCTGGAATTGGGTGTACGGGCAGGGGCCAGCCAAAGCAGAGTTGTGGAGAATCTGAAGATTAGTAACTATATGCTTGTACTGAAATGTAGAATCACTGTGAACAACAGATAGAAATGTAGATGGATACAGATACGTTGTACTGGAAAATACCATTTGCTATTATGGCATTAATTGTAAGTGACACAGTTTTATTCACAAAATGGTAAACAACTCTTAGTAAAGTTCTGAATGAATCAAAGTACTGTCTTTCCTCAACTTATATGGTAGTTGCATTTATGGAAAATTCAGTTTATTTTCATTTAAGCCCCCCCCTCCAAAGTACTTTGTCTTTATATTTTAAAATGGAGTTACATTTGTTCATTATAACTAGGTTTTTTTTAGAAAATAGTGTGACTGTCTGCCATGTCATACATAACATACTCTGTGGACCAAATATTTTAAACTTTTTATTTGGAAAAAAATTTGAAACTAACAAAAAATCATGAGAATAATGCAAAGAGTATCTGTACGCCCTTAGCCCAGATTCATGTATTGTCACCATTTTGACGCATTCGTTTTTGTTTTCTCATTCTCTGTGTGCACATGTTTTTTAACCAATTGAGAGTTTTTTGCATATATTATAGCCCTTCATCCTGAATGCTTTAATGTACATTACCTGATGTCTTTTAAGAAGCCAGTCCCCTTTTTTAATAGGATATTCTTCGTTTTGGGTTTTGTCTGATATTTCTTCATGGTTAGAATCAAGATATGCTTTCCCAATCAGTATATGTCAGTGACATTTTGTCCTTCTCAGGACATATCTAGAGATACCTGTTGTCAGTCTGCCTTCACTGATGATGTTAACTTTGATCACCCAGTCAAGTGTGTCTGATTCCCCTGGAGAGTTACTATTTTTCTCTCTTTCGACCTATAGGCAATCTGTAGGGAAGATATTTTAATATCATGCAAATATCCTGCTGTTTATCAAAAGTTTCCCCCTAGATTTAGCATCCATGGACACATCTTACCTGAATAAGTCTTTACTATGACAGTTGCAAAATGATGGTATTCCAACTCCATTAATACTTCCACATCTACTAGTTGGTACTCAGTATTCTATTGTAAGAAAGAGCCCTCCATTCTCATTTCTTTCTTTGAACTCTTGTCTGTTTATTATCAATATAGTCTTATGGATTCCTCTTGTTTTTCTTTCAATAAATCATTACTGTCCTTAATTATTTGGGTGATCAAATTGTCCCAGATTTGGCTAGTAGAAGCCCTTTCAAGATGGCTCTCCATGTTCCAGGCTCATCTTATACCTTTCCTGCCATAGCCATAGAATCAACTATTTCTTCAAGGAATCCTGGTTCCATTTAGTAGAAAATGGTCTGTGTACTGTAATTAGAAACCAAGGTCTGTGTACTGTATGTCCTCTTGCTGCTGTGTAGTTATTGCTTCTTGGCTTATTCAGTAGCCAGAGCTAGGAAAATATGTATACATATACGTAAACATAAAGATGTATACATCCATGCCTATATGCATACATGTACACATTTTACAACTAATGAGTTCATACTGAAACATACAATTCCAGTTCATCGCCACAGGGTTCTTCCTTGCCTTCCTGAAGTCCATATTTGTATCTTCTCTCCATACTGAAAACTGGCTCCCTACAGGGATAATGTTTTGATGTATTGGATAGTCTCAGCATTGCAGGTTATCTAATTTTCCTGTCTTCTGCCCATTCAGTGCCAGCAACTCCCTGCAGTCATTCTGACAGTCAAGAAAATACCCTCATACATTCTAAAATGCCCTCGATAGCCAATAGTACTCCTCTTGGAAACCACTATTCTAGTGATGAAACCAACATGGACTCAGTTATATTGCAAAGTTTGTTCTGTAATTATAAGTAGAGTGCTGTGGAAGTACAGGATAGAGAATGAAGAATTTCTGAAAAGTTATTGTTAACACTTTCTTAGGTATGAAGGGAAGATTAGTATATAAGACAATTATATTTGGCGCCTTGGTATGGGGTATAGTCAGCTCTGTTATTTGGAGACAAATCCAGGGGAACATTTTCATAAATTCTTGAATAAGCAAAAGCTATTTGCCAATGAATGAGCATAATAATCTGCAATGAATAAATATGTGAGAGTAATTATCTCCTCTGTTAAGATGCATATACCTGGAAAAGCAGTACCACCTTACAGTTTACCGAATAATACCTGGCCTAGAATACTCTCTGCACATTCTGAATCCCTACCCAGTTAGAAAAGATTTTTTCCTTGCCCTATATTCTTATGGCACTTTGTCCCTTCAGTATGCAGTGTGATGTGGTGAAGAGTCTGCACTTGGGAGCCAGACATCTAGGTGTGAACCCCAATTCTGACAGCTTTCACAAACTATGTCACTTAAATTCCTGTACCCGTAAATTAGGGATGATGGTAATGCCTACCTCAGCTAATACCCTGACATACAGTAAGTGCTCCAGAAATATATGGAATGTGCAAATTCCTAGGCCCCTTGATTTTACCTCTATAATATGTGGGAGGCGAATAAGGTTTTGAAACTCAAACTTAGAAGGAAAAGAAGCTGTTTGAGACAATATTTTTTTTCTTATTGTGTAATAGAATGTGATTTAAAAAAACTCGCTCCTACGTGCTATTACTACATGTTTTCCCTAACTCTTGAGTTTTTGGGTTGGGATATTGGGAGAAGTGAGGCCAGCTCGTGGTCAGGCATCGCACGGGATACGGTTGGGCAGTAGGTGGCAGTGCGCCCTCATCTGAGACCCGGGCGCAGCCATTGGAGCCCCGCATTTGGGTTTGGGCTCGGGCTCGAACCTTTCTGGCAGCCTTTCAAGCTGCCTCCTTGTGCGCGCGTGCGCGAAGGGCTGCCCTCAGCGTGTGGAGCTCTGTGATTGGGCGCTGTGCTCTGGAGCGGGCTCGCTGATTGGGGGAGGAAGGAGGGACGCTGTAAGTCTTCGCTCCTCTCATCTCCGTTGGAGTGCGTGGGCTCGGGTGGAGGGAAGAGGTGTGGGTGTAGGTGAGGGTCTTGGTCTTCCATCTGCTTAAGTGACTTCGTCTCCACGCTGAATACTGTGGAGGAGACGATCTGGGTTCTATCGGTTGCGCATGCAGCTATGTTGCTTCCTTTCTAAAGTCTTCATTAGTGGTTTTCTCTTTCGATCCAGGGGGAGGGCTGCCGGGGATCGGTCTAGCTCCCAGCATGGTGGTAGTTTATAACTATGGTGGTCTTGATTAATACCAGTTCTGTTTAGTACAGTGTACCTGCAGTCTAGGGGACAAGCAGGCCATGAAGTGCAGGCCCTCAGACAAAAACCAGAAGACAACTTCTTTTCACTGCTAGCTGTGTGCTGGGTTCTGTGCAAAGCACTTCACATGCACCATCCCATTTAATGTTCAAAACAGCCGGCTAAGGCAGCTGCTGTTATTCCCCCACAGAGGTGAAGAAACAGGCCATATTTTGACATTTGCTTATGGCCATACAATATTTATTGCCTTTTCACTCAAAAAATAGCTTTCCAGTGATGCCTGCAATTCTATCATAGTATCTTCCCTTGCATTGAGGCAGTGAATTTCTTGCTTAAAAAAAAAAATGCTTTTTGACTGCAGTGTAACATATGCTGAGAAGTGCACAAATCATAATGTACAGATTGATGAGCTATCACAAAGTGAACAAACCTGTGTAAGAAAACATTCCTACCACTCTAGAAGCCCTTACTGCCGCTTCCGTTTTCAAAGGTAACCATTATCCTAACTTCTAACACCTATGTTAATGTTTTTAAACATTTTTTTAAATGGCACATCTGAAACATATACACAAATAGAGTGGTATAAGTAATCCCCTTATTTACCCATATTTACTCATAATCTGGCTTCAGCAGTTATCAGCCATGGCCAGTCTTTACTTCATCTCTACTTCTATTCATTCTCCCATCCTAATCTTTTGAATTAGTTTGAGACAAATACCAGGCAATATATCATTTCACCTGAAATATTTGTAATTTTTCACTGTATACCTCTAAAAGATAAGGATATG